GGCGACTTAGACATGGAGTAGAGATGTAGGATAGCTTTTGGGTATAAGGAAAGCTAAAAAGTAGTTAATGGAGTATGGGGTGGGATAGTTTAAAGTTTACTTATAAACTATGCCAGACGGGCATTAATTGTGTAATCTGACGATAAAATTGTTTGTGTTTTTAACAATAAATTTAGAATTTGATCTCTAATTGTTATATACTAAAAAAAATAAAAACTATGCAAGACAGACCAAAAATCTCATTCTAGCAGGCATGACGATACAACTACCTCAAAATAATTCATATCCTCTAATACTATTTACTCTTTTTATGAAATTTATACTCTTTTTGTTAATTTTAGTGTGTTTAAGTTTTCTTTCTAATAAAATAGATAGTATTATAAATTAAATTTAAGGGGATGTTTTCTTTCCGTCTTTAACTTTTTCACACCTCCCATTTCTTCTATATAATAACAATAATGATTAAAAGTCATTATGTAACTCGTCACTCTATGGCTTAGTGGATGATGAATAATTCTTTATAACTTATCAATTAGTAAATAATTAATTTTTGTAATTTTTACTACCCACTTAGCTTATATATATGTAAAACTTGTATTCTTACAAAGTGTGATATAAAAAAAAGCAGTTTGTTTTGATTCAGTGATATGAATTTTGAGTTAAGATTATTCATTTTCTCTAAATTAATATATATAAATAATTTCAATCTATTAAAAAAAATTGTGATACAAAAAAAAAAAGGAATAGAAATACTACATCTATTGCATTTTTTCTCTCAATGTCTCTCGATTTTCTTTCTTTTTTCATACTTGATTCTTTCTTCTTTTATATAAAAGATGTAATAATTGATTACTAAAATTATATATTTATCTCTAATTATTCACTACTTAAATAAACTTTTTTATTCAATATACGATATAATTATTTTTTTAAAATAAAAATATAAAATAAACATAAATACATTCAATAACATTCTAATAAAAAATATATATATATATATTTAAATTTAAACACTTCAAATTAAAATTAAATTTAAAGCATTAGTTATTAGTATAAGCTTTCATTTTTAGTAATTAGCCAACGGACTGGTATAAGAGGTTGTTTGATGTCTTTAAACAAATTCTTTCTTTCACAAATTAATTTAAAATGTTTTTTTAAAGAGAATTTAAATTAGAAGTAAGTCTCCCAAAATTTGTTTATGAACCACTTTAAAAGTCAAATTCAAATGTTTTCCCTAACAAATTTCTAAATTTAATCGAGAAAATATTACTTAAAAATAAGTTCACTTTCTAAACCCCACCAAACAGTAATAAGAAACAAGCAGATCAACCTAAGCGATGTTTCTCTAATAAATAATAGAACAAAAATTTAACGTTGAAATTTGAAATAAAAAACATGATATAAGTTATTTTATTTAAAATATTAAAAAATTAATTTTTAAAAAAATTTATAATATTATATATATTACTTAATTTAATAATATAACATAAATCAAATCCTTAATTTTAAATTTTCATTCATCCTGTCTTTATTTACTCCTCTAATAAGTGCAATATAGGTAAACGATCAATTCCCCGTTCCGTTACGCCAAAACCACACATTTCATCTGATCTCGGTTCACGATAACAATCACAACTAACGTACGCCTGGTGCGTATAATCTTACGTGGCAGATTTCCATCATCCACACCGCCGGTCCACCGGTGTCATAGAAATCCCACACTCAACTGCTAACGAACACAATTAAAAAAAACATATATTAAATAAAATTTCAGAATTTCCCACAAATTGAATCCCCAATTTCGTCTCTGATTCTGAAGAAAACAAACACAGGGAAGATGATGGGTGGTGGTGGGAGTGTGTATTGGGGGAGGAAGGAGGAAGGCGGTGAAATCAAGGGGATTGTGGTGATTTTTGCTTGGGTTTCGATCCAGGAGCAGCACCTCCGGAGTCACGTCGACTTGTATTCGTCTCTCGGCTGGAATTCCCTCGTCGCTCGTGCAGATTTCCTCAACGTGTACGTTTCTTTTCCTTCATTTCGATTATTGCTTTCTGTTTGGTTACTGGGAAAGTCTGTTGCTTTTTGGATAAGGTTGTTTTAGCTGGGTCCAATTGATGCAGTAGAGACAGAGACGT